AACGGTATTCAGCGCCTAAGCTTCTGCAGGACTAACCCCTGTGGTTAACGCCCGCACACAGCACCTGGCACGGAGCGCGGCTTAACAGATGAACGTTGTTACGGCGGTAATAATCATCATCAGCGCTGTCGAGCCCCACCCTTCATGGAGCTGCCCACCTTGACCCAGGCTCATCCGGGACTCGGGGCTGCAGAGGGGCCGGTCGCAGGGGCTGGGGCGCCCTCGGTGGGCCAGCAGGCTTTGTGCCTGGCCCGGCTGGATGGCTGAGATGCCGGCCTGCCTCTCCCTGGCCCGCATTCCACCGGGAGCGCTTTGTCGCGGCCTCGGGGCTCAGGCTGGGCCTCCACCCAAGGTCCGTGCGCCTTCCTGGCAGAGCTCAGGGCAGAGGGAGGAAACTGCACGGCTCCCACCTGCCCTTGGGGCCTGCCAGGGCCCGGGAAGCACCGAACAATGCGGATTTGGACATAAAAGAGCGGGTGTTTTTCACCACAGGGAAGGGGCAGATCAGGGGACAAGGGTCCGGCCGGGAGAGCAGGAAGCCAGCAGCCCCATTCTGAACCCGCAGGGGGTTCCTGAAGAGATCAGACAGACAACGGGGTGGGTGGGTTAGAGGGACGCATGATTCCGGGCACCTGTTCTGCACAGATGCGTCTACCCCCACCCCCGGGTCCAGCGGGCGTGGGAAGGATGGGCAGAGCCGTCACCCTCGGTACGGGGCACTTCAGCCTGACTACACGAGTCTGAACCTGCCCTCCCTGCCCCGTTTACTGTCTGCACGACCCGGGGCAAGCTACTTCATCTCTGCGCGCCTCGTCCCTTCATCTGAAGAATGGGCGCACAAGCAGCCTGGACCTCCTGGGAGCGTGAGTGGAAAAAAACAAAAAGGCATCTCCTGCTGCTTTTGTTATTCTGCATGCCGTCTTCACAATGGTTCTAGAAGTGGTGGCTTTGTTAGACTGGTTGGCTCGTTCGCGGGCAAGGGACTCCTCGCCACACACCCAGCCAGAAGGCGGCAGAAAGGGGGTCCTGTTGATGACAAGGGCAGCGCTCTCTCCTAAAGCCAGCCTTCTGGGGTGACCAGGACCTTACTGAAAATTGGACAAGATCGTCTTACCAGAGGGGTGTGGGCGTACACGCACTTGCACGCCCCCCGGGGGACATTTCTGGGTGTTCACAGCCCCTCTGAGGCCAGCCCTAGACTAGGGGCCGCCAGACAAGGTTTCACGGATTCAGGGTACAAATCCCTGTCTCTTATCTTGCTGTGTTCTGGAGGGAGCTTGCTTTTGTTTTAAGAGGATTATCACGTGTTTCTTTAGGAAACAGTGCTGTGAAACACCACTGGGAATTCCTCTCGGGCTCTCTGTCCCCCAAACTCTCAGGCTGCCTTTCTGCCACCTCTGCACGAGCCGGACAGGTGAGGCCAGTGCAGAGGGTTGCCACATGGCCACGCTTCGGAAAGACCCTTCCAGACCAGATGCTCTGCCCCTCACCCCAGCTGCACGCCTGGACGCTCGTGGGCAGGACACGTATTCTCTGGTGTCCCCCGGAAGGTGCCCCTGGGGGACGTGGCCCTCTGGCTTACAAATGCAACGGGCCAATGGGAGGCCCCGAGGAGAGCAGAAGTGGGAGGAGAGGGAGCTGCAGGCATCCCCCCCCCCCCCAGCTCCCCACCTGCTTGGTTGGGTTCTCTGCCACTGGCCGTGTCCCCTGCACCAGGGGACTGGGTGGCTGTCTGCACCATTTCCTCCCTCTGCTCCTGCAGGCCCTGGGATGGGAGGGGAGTGGGGGGGTGAGGGGTGGGATCGCTCACCTCCCGCCCCTGCCCACCCCTCCACATTACAACCTCTTCCTGCCAATCCTCGGGGTGAGTTCTGTTTCCCAGTGGGACCTGCCTACTCTTAGTGCCAGGACAGCTGGGAGCACTGGCCTCCACAGGCTCCGTCAGCTCCGAGTCGATGGCACCGATGGCCCCTTCCAGAACCTGCGAGGGTGATGCTCCTCCAGGGACAAAGGGAGTCTCAACACAGAGCCCGGCTGACCCTCACAACCACCTCGGGGGCCTCATGTCACCTCTGCACCTGAGGCGCCGTACCTGGAAGCGGGGACACCGTGACACGCACGCCACGGGGCCTTCCGTGAGGGGGCGCGGTGTCAAGGCCAAAGGGCGGTATGACGTCTCCCATCACCATCTACTACTCATCCCCTGCGTTTCTGGAAGGGACCCTGGAGGTTCTACGTTCAGGGTCTGGCTGAGTCCGGACGAAGGCAGCCGTGCAGTAAATGCTCACACACACGCCCCCGCCCCCCCAGTACGGACCCCAGAGCGGGGCTGCTGTTCCAACCTGCCACTTTCCAGCTGCGTGACGGCGGGCAGTGCCTCAGTTTCTCTGTCTGTAAGATGGAGTCCGCAGCGCCTGAAGCGGCTGCGGCTCCGTGAGGAAACGTGAGACCCCGCAGCTCCCAGACTGAGGACGGGCCCGGCACAGAATGAGCCCTTCACAGACAGCAGGGGTCACGCGTCATCCCTCCGACGCCGGCCTGGTCTCGTTCTCCCGTCTGCAAAACGGGGCTAATCGTGCCCGTCTTGTGGGGCTGTCGGGGAAGGGATGGGAAGAACCCTATAAATAAGCCTCTCCCCCCACCAGGACCGTCCCTGCTTGTCGAGGCCTCGGCCGGCAGTCGATGCTTGGAGATGGCCGACCCCGCGGAAACGCCCCTGGCCGGCTCTCCGCTGGGGTGAGGCAATAACGCTGTCTTTGGCACTCAATTTATTGAAGGGGGCTCCTCTCCCAGGCAGGGCATAACCGCTGAGTCTGCAGGCCGCCGGCCCCGGGGACAGGCAGGGGGTGGGGAGACGGGGAGAGTCCCTTACACAAACATTTGCCGACGGGTGCATTTGGGGCTGCCGATGGCTGTCGATAAGGACAGGTTCCCTTCCTGCACGTCAGGACTTGGGGACTTATTGAGTCGTAAGCCGGCGACTGTGTACTCAGTCCTGATCCCTCCAGCTGCTCGTTCGCCTCAGCCTGAGGGCCCTGCTGTGAACGTAGGACATGGTCTCCCTGCTGGGGAGGCCTCAGCCCGGTGAGGACAGACAGCAAAAGAAAGAAATTAGGAACAGACGAAGGAGAGCAGAGGACGGAGCCATTACTGATACCTGAGAAGGAGGGTGGACCAAGGGAAGGCTTCCTGAGGGAGGGGTCATTTGAGCTGGGCCTTGACGGCTGAATAGGCACCGCCTGGTTCAAAACCACTTGGAGGGCTGGGCATCGGGCATTGTGAGCAGAGAGAAGAGCACATGGGAAGAGCATGACACACGACACGGCGTTTGGGAAGGGCTGGGAAGTGCAGGCAGGGGTGTGTCCTGAAGGCAGGGGTGTGTCCTGAAGGGTCGGTGGCTATGCAGTCCTATTTCTGCAGCTCTTAGCACACTTGCCGGGGATGTGGCCTCACGTCCCCAGACCCTGCCGGGGAGCCCGCTTGCTGGCCCAGAGCAAGACACGTGAGGCCCAGGGAGAACTCACAGCCCTGAGCGGGCCACCCCCTCCCTAGGTCCCCCTAAGCTGCTACATGACTGGGGCAGCGAGGGTCACTGGCCAGGATGGTGAATGAGTGTGTCCCCACCCCAGGCTCCATCCCTACAAGGACAAGTGGGGGAAGGGCGGGCGGTGTGGCCAACACCTCGACTGCCTCCCGGTGACACCACTGGGCGGCGGGGATGGGGGAGGGCAGCGGTGCCGGGCGCTGGGTGGACTGGTCCATCCGGGAAAAGTCCCCGAGAGCCAGGAACCTGCTAGTTGTCCCCAGGACCCCTGGGTAGAGGAAGACAGACCGCTACCGGAGACCTGATAGTGGCCAGGGCCGAGGCCATGGGTGAGGCCACGGGGCCCTTTCAACAAGCCCGGCTTTCCCAGGCCGGCGCGAGGAAGGGATGCGTGCCCAGCTCAGTGAGGCTTCCTGGACCCCCATCGCTAGGCCTCCAGGACCCTGAGGCAGGAGGCCAGCAGCCGCCCCTTTCTGGCCAGGCCCTGCACACACTTCTGAGACGGCGGGAGAGGAAGGAGAGGATGCAGGTTCACCTGAGTGTGGGGGTGCGCTGGGAGGGGCAGTGGGGGCACGTGCCACATGCCCGGTGTGGCCCAGGTCTTGCGGCTTTCCCTCAACCCCTCCTGACTCCCCAGAACTTGCCGGAGAAGACAAGGCCCCGGTGAGCCCTCCACGCTCTCCACTTCATCTGTTCCAGCCACGCTGGCCTCCCGTTTCTCACGCGCCCAGCCAAGGTCCCCACTGCTCAGGTGGCCCTTTCGTGGGCACGAACGTCAGCTCTGCGGGAGGCCTTTCTAGACCACCCGCGCAAACAAGTGTGCCCACCGGCCTCTTCCACCCGGAAAGACGGCCGGCTAGGTCGCAGCCGCGAGCGCTGGGACGGAACAGGTGCTTAGTGTTTGCGGGGGAGGGCTGAGTGATCGGCGAGCCCACAAAGGTGTGTGAGAGGTGGGTCAGGACCGGGGACCATGGCAGAAAACGCACGGCCCTCAAACCAAGGAAGTGAGGAGGGTCGAGCAAAGAGGTGGCAGAGGGTAGGGGTTTTGGCGGCAGTGACCCCCTCAGGCTGGCCGCTGCGTAGAGAGGGCCACCAAACGGGGGCAGTGCCAGCCAGCCAGCCAGCGGAAACCTGGCGGGACGGAGAGCGGAGGGGGGTGATGGGGCCGGGAGGGGACAAACACCATGACCCCAGGCTCCTCCTCTCCCCAGTCTCCTGCCAGGCCTCCCAGTGACCCGGCCCAACCGGAAGCCAAAGGGCACAGAGACTGCTGACGTGGTGCACGCTGGTCGGCCTCTGGGTGCGCAGCGAGGAGAGGAGGGCGGAAGGCAGAGCAGGGGGCAGCTGGGGGGCGCCCAGCGCGCTCTGGGAGGGAGAGCGGGCACCCTGACGCACGCGGCCCGGCCCGGCCAGGGCCAGGGCAGCCCTCTCGGGGGCCCCCGCGCGGCATGCTTACCGTGGAAGCGCTCGGCCGTCTTCCGCCGCAGGGCCTGCAGGCTCACCTCGGAGTCGGCCCACTCCAGCACCAGCCTCCGGCCGTACAGGTGGGTGCTGTGGCACAGGGCGTGGAAGGCTCTCTGGGGGGCGAGGGCAGGAAATGGAAGTGTCAGTGAGCTGGGCCCTACCCGCAGGCGCTCCCTCCTGCCCCCTCCCACCCACCGCGACCTCGCGCTCAGAGGCCAGGTTCCGGCCCTTGTGATCCCTGCTCCCCGGCCAGGGGGTGGGAGCTCTCGGCCACTTTATTCGATTAGAGGGTTATGTCCCAGGGAGGGAGCTGCCAGTGACAGTGCCGTCAATACGCCTGCCGTCCGGGCTCATAATTGGTGCTGGGCCAGTGGCGTCTCCTTCCCCGAGCTGTGTCCTGCCCGGGGAGGGCCACCCCATTAGCTGGCTCACCTCCCACCGGGCCGTCTGGGGCAGCGCCGTGCGAGAGGGCCGAGCCCCATCTAGCTATGGTCACAGCCGTGCAGGCCCCTCACTGTCCCCTGGTAGCCCTGTCCTTCGCTAGCCCTGCGGATTCTGTCCCCGGCCTCTTATGCCCTAGGCCAGGACACCCCCGGTCCCCCGATGGCCTCCGGGCTCCCAGGCTCTGGCTCCTTCTCCCAGCTCAGTAGCCCTGTCTTGCCCTCCCCGAGTTCACGCATGGCAGCTTTACTGAGATACGATCCACATACCACGCAAGTCACCCACAGGAAGCACAGGGCGCGCTAGTTCTCGGGACATTCAGACGTGTGTGGCCGTCCCCACAGTGTCACAAGGTTTCCCACCCCCAACCTCCTTGCCACATCTGGCCCGGTCCCCGGTCTCTGGATCTGCCCGTTTGGGACGTTTCATATTGACGCAACCACAGGACTGGCGAGCTCCCTCCCAAATGTCGCAGGGGCCCTTCCCGGAGCACTCCCGTGGCTCATGGAGGCCACGTGCCTGGAGCCACCGCGCCTGCGCAGGCAGGCAAGCTTCCAGGGCTTACGCGCGTCGATGCATCTCCCAGGCCTCAGTTTTCAAATCGATGAAGTGGGAAAGTCGGAGGCGTGCCAATCTAACGGCTCTAGGGGAGAAGAGGAAGATACCTGGAACGGGGGGGTGGGGGGGGGCGGGGCGGGGGGGGACACACAGTAAGCGCTCAATAGACTCGAGCTCTCCTCGTGGTGGTGCCACTGCAGACTATCACGCTTGCACCCTGAGGCCGCAGGTCAGCAGTGGGTGCTCGTGACCCCTGGGAGCCACGGTGGCTAACGGTGGCCCCTTCGCCTCTGCTTCTGGGCTGCGGCAGCACCACGTGGCCCGAGAAGTGGGGCCACGGGGAGCAGCGTGTGACCAGGAGGGCCCTGCGCCAGACCTGGATCCCGCCCCGAGCCCGCAGCTGCAGCGTGACTACTACCGGCTGGACCCCCTTCTCTCCAAGGAGAGCTGTTGGAATCCAAACCCCCAGGGCCTCAAGTTGTGGCCTTATTTGGAAACCAGGTCTTTGCAGATGACGTCAAATTGAGAGGACGGCACACTGGAGAAGGAGGGCCTCTCACCCGACTACGACTGCGTCCTGGTGAGAGACGGCCGCGCGCAGACAGAGACACACGGTGAGCGCCCCGCGGGATGCTGCTGTCCCTGGAAGCTGGGGAGAGAGGCAGGGGACAGGCCTCCCTCAAAAGGAACCAAACGCTCTTGGCCCCTTGAATTTGAACTTCTGGCCTTGAGAACTGGGCGCCAACACAGTTCGGTTGGTTTTGTCCCTATGGTGCTTTGTTAGGGAAGTGTAGGGACCTTGGGAACTACTGGCTACCGCTGTAGCCTCTGTCTTCTCATCTGTACAATGGGGTAAGTGTGGGATTACCACGCAGCAAGCCCCGGGGGGGGTGGGGCACAGAGCTGACCACCCCCCACACGTCGGAACCTGAAAAGCCTGGGTGGGCCATGCACCTTTTAAAAATGAGACATGTGGCCGAATTGAAAAAAAAACCACTTTGTTCTCAGATCCGCCTCTCCGAAGAGGGCCAGGTGCAGGAAACTTTCTCTTTCCCTTTTTTTTTTCCAGTTTAATTTAAAAAACTCTTTCCGCCGCCAGCAGAGCCCCTGCGTTTGTTCCACGCGGAGATAAAAACGCATCTGGACCCCGAGCCGAAATGGCCCATTCAGAGCTTTAAAACACACGCGTTCTCAGCTGGCGCGGCACTGAGGCAGCCGGGCTGGGGGGCCGGGGGTGTTGAGACAGGGGAGAGGAGTCGGCGGGAGTTGGTGTGGCCAGTGGACGGCGCCAGGGTCCCCAAGGACCTGTGGCCCCAGGGACATGGTTGAGCGGGGCGGCCGGGAGGCAGCGTCTGGTGGAAGCAGAGCCACAGGGAGGAGCAGAGCACGGGAGGTGGCCCGGCCTTGCTCTGTGCCTGCGGCCGTGGGGCCTCAGACTGGCGTTTCCCTCCTGCCCCCGGGAGCCCCGTTCTCCGTTCCCTTGCCAGGAGGAGCCCGGGGAGGTTCACCAGCACGGGAGCTGCCAGGGACCCCCTCTCCCGGCCCCCTCTGACATCACCCCTTCCCAGCGCTCCTGTCCTCCTTGAAGGGATTCTGACGCCAGGAGGTGGCGGGGGGCGGGGGGCGGTCTGGGCCTGGGCAGCTGGGGTTCAAATCCCTCCTGCACCACTTAGCAGCTGTGTGAGCCTGGGCAGCCTGCTTAACCTCTCAGGGACGTACTTCCTCAAGGGGCGGCTGCAAAGAACGGACAGGAGGGCCCGCGAACTGTGAAGTCCAGCACTTCCGCCAGCACGGCGGGCTGTCATTGCCATTACGGATGCCCTCTGCGCCCCTCGTATGGCCTGAGAACAGGAATAACGCTCGGAGGGACACAAAAGCTCTTGTGCGTTTGGCACTGGGAGGGCAGCACATGGTTCCTCCCAAAATAGGACTCCCCCCCCGCCGCCCCGTCCCTTCTGGTGAACATGCGACCAGGCTGCTTCCCTCAACGCCTGCTGCCATGGTGGCCCCAAGCTGTCGCAGGCGGCGGGGACAGTGACTCAAGGCTGAAAACTGGCCTTGGACAGTCTGGACTAACTGCATTTCACTAAAGGAGCCTAAGGAGACTTTGCTGTATTGTGGGGGGGATCCTAGGAGGCAGGGAGGGTTCGGGAAGGGGAGGACACAGCCCAGGCCTCAAGGGGCTTTCAGACGAGTGCAGAGGAAGACAGTGAGGAACACGGAAGGTTCCAGGCACAGCGGAGGGGAACTTGCAGCCCTGGCCTTCCTGGCCCGTGTGCCTCCTGAGAGCCCACGCCGCCTTCCCCTGAAGAGTTCTGGAACCTCAGCTGTGGGCACACGCCCTCCACCAAGTCGGGTCTCAGCGCCTTGTTTATCTTGGAGCGCCCAGGGGTCAGTGCCATGTGGTGTTTCGGGAGGAAGTTCCTGGCCGTGTGCTTCTCTCACACCCACCTTCTTTCTGCTCCTGTTTTCTTCCCTCAGGACCCCCTGGGTTAGACCTCAGAGCGCATGACCACGGCCTACTCACGAGAACGGACACCTCTCTCCGATTTCAATGAAAGGAAAACAGAGGCGCTGGCTAAGGCCTGTGTGCAAGCCAACTTCCTTCCTGCTTTTCCTTTCAGACTCCGTACGTCCCACCCCTGGGCCTTTGTAACACCCGCCCTGGGCTCGGAAGTGTGCCCTGCTCTCCTCACAGACTGCAGCCAGGCACCCTCCCCGTGCCCTGTGCACACAACCTCCATTCCGGCACCCGCCCTGTGCGCCAACCTCCTCGGCTCAGCCTCGAACCCTGGAGGGAAGGCCCCCCCTCCCGACACCCCCTAGTACAGTGCTCGGGACAGGGAGTGACCAGGAGACGTAGTACCCCCCCCCCCCATCCACAGGGGACACGGTCTAGGGCCCCAGGGGATGCCTGAACCCACAGGCAGTACTGAGCCTCATCTACGTGGTATTTCTCCTGCACACACATGCCTGCGGGAAAGTTTAACTTACGAATCAGACCCGGTAAGAGCCTCAACGACAATAACTAATAGTGAAGGGCAATAACTAAGACAACACACTGTAATAAAAAGTTGTGCAAACATGGTCTCTCTCTGAAACATCTTACTGTACGGAACTCTCTGGTCCCCTCGTTGAGGACAAGAGACAATAAAAGGCCGTGTGACGAGATGGAGTGAAGTGCGTGACGCAGGCGTGTGACATGGTTATGAGGCCACGTGGCCTGAGGAGGAGGCCCATCTGCTTCTGGAGCACAGTCGATCGTGGGTAACAAACCACAGGAACGGAAACTGTGGATGGGGGGGTGGGGTGGCTACTGTATTCACAGAGCCAATGGGGCAGCACCCCTCACCGACGTCTGCAGACTGCAAGGGATGGTCAAGGTGGTCCTGGCTAGAGATGGCGGGCTGGCTGAAGGAGCCTGCTGTGGTCCCTTCTCAACCCTGCGATGCAGACCACAGGGACCGAAGAACAACATGCCGTGTCCGGCGGCCCTTGGGCACAGGCCCCCTTGCCTTTCGGTGAGGACAAGACCTGGCGTGCATGGTCCGGGGTCTGGCAGCCGGGAGGGGAAGGCCTGATGCTAGCGTGTAGGACTTCGGGGCCCTAGGGGGCGGGAGCCGGTACCCAAGCCACCCGTGCACAGTAGATGGCCGGAGCACCCCCCGGCTCACTGTGGAAATCTACGGGTGCGCTTGCCAGTCCGTGAGGAGAGGGGAGCCTCTGCTCCCTGCAGCCGCTTCCTGTCCTCACCTCCTACCCCCCTCTCGGCCCCCACAGACCGTGTGACCCAGGCTCTCGCCCTCTGGTTTCTGTTTAGGTGAGCAAATGGGAGGCACCCGCAGTCCTGTGGGGGGGGGGGCAACGGGGCGGGGGGACAGCTTCCCCTGCCGGTGGCCTCTCCCCTCTCACTGGTCCCAAGCCCTACTTAGTCCTCCATAAATCTCTCCTGGAGCATCGGGGGTTCTGCTGACCCAGATGGCTGCCCTGAGTCCCTGTGCCTCGACCCCGGGGCAGATGGGCTTCTTGCTGCAGACGGCAGGCCTCAGGGCGGGGCCCCACTCCGAGAGGTGAGGCCCACTGCGGAGGGCGGGCCAGCTGGGGTGCAAGCCGA